AATTCGCCCTATTGGATCTCTTTTTCTCTGTGCTCTACCTGACCGCGTCGCTCCAAAAGTGCAATTTGGCTTCTTTTACCAACCCCCTGCTGTTCAGTGACTACAGGCGTGCACTTAGACACGCCCTCTGCGCTTATTGTTAGACAGGTCGAAGCCGATGCTTGAGCCTGATCGCTTGGGTAAGTAAAAAGCGTTACTTGATGAATTGGCTGCGAATTGTATTGTATTACATTGATATTTGAGTAGGGTAATGTTGAATATGATGAACAAGTGGTCGGAAAGAAAAGACAATACGCAGAGAAGCGTAAGCCTCATCACTGAGCTAAGCAATGACCTGAGTTTAAACGAACTCCAATATTCGTGGAATAAATTTTCAAAATCAGTTAAGTCACTCGTGCAGGTCAGCGATCACGCTTCAAGATGCTTGAGGGTGACGAATTGTCGAAGCCCATGCATTAAGCTCATCGCTGAGCTAAGCCCAATCCCAATGCGTTAGCCTCATCACTGGGCTAAGCGATGGCCTAAGCCTAATTGTAAGCTTCCTGCTAATTTTAAGACATTGAAAATGATATTTCAATTATTAGAATGAATTAATAACAATATTATTAGTTTGATTGACAGGAGATTGTTTAGGCAACAAGCCACTGAGTATCATATGGGAACCTATCCCTCAGAGAATCAGTGAGAAAATGATCATAGGAATAGTTTGATAAGATAAAAGTGATTGACATTAAGAGCTTCAAAGATTTAAAATTAATAAGGCAGTGCAGCTGATGATTAGAAATAATTCATAGTCAGTGTAAAAGGAAAGTTCTATCATTGATAAGTTCCTTCATGTGGAGGTTATCATAAATACATCATGCAGCCGCATGATGTATTTATGATAACTTCTTATTTCTCATTGATTTACTGTTAGCACTATCATTTCGTTCGTGATGCTTCTTATTGTAAGCGGTTTAATTAGCCAAGTTTGAGGTTATTTTGCGAATAAAGATTCAATGGACAATGCACATTCTTTAGACGGTGTTCATAAATATTTATCAAAATCAGCTGATTGTAAGTCATTCGTTCAGTATGACCAGTAACGCGTAACGTAACAGGCGTGGTCCAAAGCGCAAATGGCAATGCGCTTTCTGCTTGTGTACGGGTATAACCACCGAACAGCAGAAGTGGCCAATTTTTAAGTTTGCTCAGAAATTTGAATTTTAAATTCAAGCCGAATACGATCAAAAAATGAATTTTCATCATGAAACTATCGTTGGGGAGCTCTAACGAGTTTTGAATTATCGGAATGAGCGAGCGGGTGATTTATTAATTATGGAAGGACAAAAGCGATAGATCACCGCAATAGTTTCGAAAAGCTGTGTTTCCGTCGAACGCCACAGATTCGGCTTATGAACAGGGCAGTCTCGTTGGATTCTCTGGGTTGTTAGACAAGTGACTCGGGAGGATTACTTTATCGCTTGAAAGGATTGGGTAATATATGGAGTGGAAACTGTTTGTACTGTTTCAGTTCTATTTTAAGTAATTTGCACATCTGAACCATGCGTAAACTGTCTAACTTCTGCTACAAGGGTATTTCGAGGTGTAACATTGCGCATTCAGACTAGTAATGGCAATCGACGGAATTCGACTGGTCAGACCGAATGCAGTTCGGTTGGATTCCGAGCGAAAAATTTGAATGTTGATCTGGATTCCGTAATATTAAAGAATCGGTTTGAATAATGTTCCGTCACTACCACCGCAGTAATTCGTACCCTATTCAAGTGGACGAAGAATCTTTTCAGATTTTACAGAATCAAACGTTTTAAATCGTTTCCAACTGCGATGATGGCAAAAAGACTGTCGTCTGGATTAAGCAAAGTGACAGGTCGATTGATATGGATCGATTGTGAGATGACTGGTCTGGATGTGAATGTGAATAGAATCGTCGAAATTGCTTGCATTGTCACTGAAGCTGATCTCAGTGTTCGTTCATTTGATCATTCATTACCGATAATATTTACACCACGTGAATATCTCACAAACAATTCTGCTGATACTATCAACAAAAGCGTTCCTGGCTTCACACTCAACTCTGCCTGAACAAACCACAGTTGAGGCCCGAATCGATGTATTGCACGCCTCATCCATCCTAGTCTCAAATATCACCATGCCTCAATCAAATCCCAAAATCGGATCTAAACAACCTCCACGTTTTGCAAGTGATACCGTCCAGCGAATCTTAAAAATAACTTCCCAAACGTCTATGGACACGGAATCGTGGGTATGGAATCCCTCTAAGATTTGATTCCAATTTGGAACGATTGTTCAATCAATGAAAATACCAAAGTAACAATCAAAACCTATGGGATCGTGGTGAATAATGGGCTTACGGTTGGCTAAGATGTAGTGATAATAAAATAAATATGTTAAAGATTGTCTCCGAAGGACCAGATCTCGTAATAAATCAGCCGGAAGATGTTTTATCGAATATGAGCGATTGGTGTAAAACAACTTTTAAAATGAATGGTTTAACGGAGAGGATTCGAGCAAGTAACATAAACACTGAAAATGCTGAATCACAGGTTCAATTTCCAGCGATAATAATCTTTTGCACCAATCTCTGAACAACTGGAGTGACTTTTTATTTCACTTTCCCAATAGAAACTATACCAGAACTAATAATAATCATCATCCATCAATTAAGATGAAGATTCTATGCGTGCAATATTTTAACAATATATCATTTGAACTCTTCAGTATAAATTGAATAATAGTAACAACAACACCAGAAATAATTCTAGTGACAAAACAATAATAACATCAGGTTCAACAATACAATCTAATATGCATATAACATCGATTCAATAATGACTATTCCCTTGGACAGGTATTAACCTTTCTGAAAAGGCACACTGAAGCTGGTCAAAGTGTTTTGGCTGGTAACTCGGTTTATATGGATCGTATTTTCATCAATAAATATATGCCGAATTTGGGTGCTCACCTCCACTATCGTACTGTTGACGTTTCAACAGTTAAAGAGGTCAGTGCAACGATTCACTTCTGTCCAGAAGCAGAATATTCCTTAATAATAACTATTGTATAAGGCGAATCCGGTTGTTCACTGCTGGTTGTCGTGTAACTATTTCAGAAAATAACTCCTTCGAGAATATCGAGTTGAAAGTAAATTTGAAAGTCGCACGAAACATTCAAATATATTCCAAAAGGATAATGATACCATTTGAAGTTTTTCAAATATCGCTTTTCTCATATGAATTTAATCGATAACGCTTTCTATTCATCAACGAATCAACGCATCATTTAATATAATCAGGCCTATGAATGTTTTAAACAGATCATAGTGTATGTCATAAGAACAAGCTGAAGGTCGATGAAGATAACAATAGAATTAATTGTATTCGTCGTTAAAATGTGGACGTATAACACTAAAACAATGACAGTAATAAAATTACAAAGAATCCTAATGTTCATTTAACTTCAACAAAGCGAAAACTTTTTTCTTCCGACCCAGCAAATATCGTTCTAACAATAAACAGACACGGCAATTAAATTTTCCAATAAAAAATTTCATTTTTCAACAGAATCTTGAAAAGTTTTCCCGAAAGAAGCAAGTTTTCGGCCAACGAATTGCCTTTTCAAAAGATAAATGCTGAGCAATTTCACGACTGACTCTAAAATTCAATTTTCAGTTGGTAAAGCGTTGGAATCCATTAGCTTATACGTTGATACCTCGTAAGAAGAATGCGCACAGAGCACTGGACGATATCAAGGAAAGTATTGAAGAACTGAAGTGGTATAAGGCGAATATTTTTAAATGTGATAACTTCGTTACATAATTACTCATTTTGAAAGTTCGATTCGATTTTTCACCATTGTATATAGTTTAGTTTTAATAAGAAATTAATGATCTGCTCACTAAATACATTGAAAATGTATTCAATGAAAGAGCCTTCTAAAAGCGTACAGTAACATTCTCAAAAAAATTTTTAAGATTATGATATAAATGTTTTTTGATTAAGTCATACGCCGTATTGTTCGACTGCCTACGATATCCAAAAAACCGGAAAGGTTGCATTACAGCAATACCTATAAATGAAATCGTCTAGTACATGCCCAATGACTTCGACAATATAACATAGAGATTACGATCAGTAATCAGTACGATGCTAGGGGGTGTGGAGTGAAGTAGAGAAGAGGACGGGGGCATAGTCTTCTTCAGACGAAAGTGATAACGCAGATTCAATTATCAGTTGATGACACACTTCAGCAATCAAAGAACCTCAGCCTGACTATTTCGTATCTCATCCAAACTCCACCGTAATGTTTTCGGTAAATACACAACGATTTTCTTGTCGGTCGTTTCAAGTTTTACTTTCTTATTCAATATCTCCTCACTGGTCTCGTTTTCTTTCGCACCGTCACCCAGTTTCACTTCGTCACCAAACAGCGCAAAACGTTCGATGATCTTCGGAACGCTCAGAAATGCAAATTGCACCGATCGACATTTCAAGTCATTCTCATAGAACGATGCGTCTGGTGTTACGGCCATCGCATCCGCCTTACAACGTTTCCATCCATCGCGCATTATGTCCATACGACCTGATTGCGAGCCTCCATAACGTACTCGAATCATACTTGAGTCCTTTAGGTATCATTCTGTTGTTATCATTACATTTTTACTACTGTTGTTGTTATTATATTGTTGCCTCAATTAATGTTGATGATGCATGAACACTATTATCTTTGCATTCACACTGATTATTGTACACGATAAACGAGGGTGAATGCTGCCCGAAACGAAATATTGTTCGAATAAATAAGCTGACCTGTTGCTGTTCGTGATCGATATATAGATCCTTAGCATTCACCTGCAGTTCATGTGTTTTGCCGCAGTTCTCGTTTGTTACTGACGAATAATCTTTTTTACTTTTATTCTCACTTTCATCCTGCAAGTAAACAAACCCTCGCTCTAGCAATAAACATTATGTCATTCTTTGACTTTTTCCACCGTCAAAAAGCACCACAGCAAATTTCACTTCTCCAGTAGTCTCACTTTATTCTCTCTGAACAAATTTTCTCATCAATAAACCGTCAATGCCAGTTAATGAATTCATTGTAGCCTATTCATACCGTTTTTACTTCATAACAATTACTCATCTGCATAACATTGAAAATAATAATCTGTATGATTTAATTTGAAGTTTGCAGAACATTCATTTGCGGAATATGTAAATGCAAAATTTTGCGATTAATAAATACGATAAATATCAACCCCATGTTCGAACACTCTCAAACATAACAAAATTCAGCACCCTAGATCACATTGAATTCGTGTATCTCTTCAGATTTATAAAACATGCTTAGATTATATTCTAACGATATGAATCGCCACTTCAAACATTTCTTACCTTTATCGTTTATAAAAAAAGGTTACCAAAATATAGTACGTTTTAATAGGATGGCTAATTTCAAAAGATGAGGATCGAACCTTATATTTAGGCGTACCAATCAGGTAATGCCACCATCTCTTTTCTGTTTTTGGTGTTTGATTAAGTGATGCCCCTCGACATTTATTGCATCCTTCGCAATATTCCTCATAATTTATCTGCAGTTTCATTGGTTCTGGATAACGCTGCAATCGTGTTTTGTTTAAATTAGTCATTGGTGGTTACACCTGAGGAAGATAATAAAAAATCACGGACAATTTACCTTAACCATCTCCCAAAAATACGCGAATCTCCTCCTTAACGCACCCCAATACCACAGTTTTCTCTTCCTCATCTCTGCATGTAAAAACCAGCCAGCATTCACATCTGATAGACCGTATATGTCTTTTTGGTGATAATCGCTGTCATTGAAACCATCCTGTAATATCTCTCTGATAAAGATTACAATAACAACAACAACAACAAAAATATTTCAACAATGCTTCCTTGGATTTTGTTCATATGAGACTGCAGTGAGGACAACATTCGAATATTACTCTGTCAAAAGGGTCACTTTTGAAAGCCCCTGCTGAGGCGGACTCGTCATGTGATGAATCAAAGTTTAGTCCCTGATTGGGTTGATAAAGGCTCGCCAACATGCAAATTCAATCTATCGCTTGGTCTCCACTCAAAATTCAAGCACTTTGGTGTTCAGCGAACACTGCACGAGTCATTCATTTCGCCAGACTCATGTGATGAAGTTGTATTCGAGAAATACTCTGTGCAAGAATAAGCACTAAAACAGTTACCAAACTGCAGCGAGCGATATACACTTCACGTTTGTTGCCTTCAATTAATGCCATCGCGCTCTCACAATACCTTCGCACATCGTCACGTTCGCCTGCAGACAACAATTACAATTTGAGTAATGAGGCAGCACGAACATTACATAGGTGAATGTGCAAAGCATACAACCGTGATGTGCTATTCAATTTGTTATCACGTTGTATCCGTGACCGCACAATTTGCTAAAAAACGTTTTGCCTAAGGACAGTTTCTCTAAAGACGCATTGCCTAACGGACGGTTTTTAACGAATATTTTGCCTAATAAGCAAACTGTCCTTAGGCAAAACGTCTTCAGGTAAAATTTCCGGGTACCGTTGTTTGAACGGATCGCAAATATAAACACTCCTGAATGATAATGTAGCACAAAGCCTAACAATAATCCAGAATTAACCTCTTATTTACTCTGCACACTTCGTCTGTTTGTCTACGACCCATACTTATTAGCACGAGAACTACTCGTACTAATGACAATAATAAGTCTATTCTTTCATTTCGAAAAAAATTTTGAGATCACAAAATTCGAACCGGACGTTGGCCGCCTTGTGTTCTCTCATTTCATATCAAAATTGGTTCAAAACGCAAACTATCGTATCACACGTTCACTGCACAAACTCACACCTCAGCGTTGATCATTCCGACCTGCTCAACCAAAACTTACAAAAAACCTTTGCCACAATTCCACAAGTAAAACTCTATGAGCAATCGCAAATGGACATGAATTAATTCAATTGCTCAAAAGATACGATTCAATTGTTAAATCAAAACTTACAAAAAACCTGCGGTACAATTCCGCTCAAGAAGCGATTCTCATTACCACCCGGAAATATACCGACCGGTAATACCGCGTCCTTACGATTACGATATATCCCAGTCAACACCCTACTCACTGTACCGTCTCCTCCGACAATGTACAACGCGTCAGCTTCAGCAGAGTCTAGTGCGCCTGCGACTGCTTCAGTTTGGTCTTCGTCTTCGGCCTTTAATCGATAGAATAACAACTCTATCGTATAGGGGAATAAATTGAAATGTTCTCTAATTAATAGAATGTTCTGAAGCAAAATATTCTAATAAATAAATTAATAAAATGTTCTCTGATTCACGCATAAACCTTCTTATCTGTATTATATTAAAATCATCATATCATATTAAAATCTATCCTAAACCTTGCCTTATGTATCATATTTCACACAGTGAGAACTACATTTATATTTCAATTTTTTAATCCACCTTTTCTATTTGTTATTTTTACTTTTTCCAATCCAGCATGATGTCAGAGCCTCCGTTATGCCTTTTATGTTGTATTATTGTTTGTATATATTATACGTAGCAATAAACCCTTCTATCTATTTATTAACAATTGTTTTCGCAACCTAAGAGTAGCACACCTCAAATGCGGATAAAGCAATGTGGTTTTTGATATAAAACTGACCCTAATCAGAGTCACTTCGAGACCAGCCAAGTTGAGTAGAGGTAAAGCGTTTGTTTTGAAGGTATCATACACATATCGATCATTCGCACTGACATTGATCAGCACCGACACCCTTCGCGGGCGATCATCAGGCGATACGGTTTGCAGACCGTATTTGGATGCTTCTCGACAGTACGCGGCTCGAATGCATGCATCCCTGTCACATGATAATATCTTTATATAATATGATACGTTGCGGGCAATGGCCAGTTTCGGGAACCCTATCCTCATGCCCAGTATTCTTCAACGCATCGACTGTATTTTCGATGTTTCCCACAGCGCCCGTCCCCTAGTTGCTCCTTATCGCCCAACATTATACTCATGACAAGTTCATTCATACCAGTTGTTGTGATATGATCTATATGATCAAGTATCAATCGGTGATATGAATATTGATCTAAATGCTTGATCGGTATATAAACAACAACACTGTATATAGGCAGAGCGTTTTGTATTAGAAATCATTCCGTATTATCATGGTATCGCGGTTCGTCTGCTAATTGGTTTTAATAAAAGACTAATTCAATTGTGGACCCTACAAGAGCAGTTTAATGCACATGGTTATAACCAATTCACTGAACATCCAAAATAAACCGCAATAGAACTGCTACAAATTCACCACTTCTCACATGAGAATAATATATTCCAAGTGATATGTAACGTACTCAAAAGTATCAAGGGTGAATTGTTTCTTTGCACAATCGTGCCTACATTCCAGGGCCTTGAACAAGGGTCACTGCTCAATCTAATTCTAGGACACTTCAGAAGACAGTCATATTCAATTAACACCTCATAATTGAGCACCATTGCTATACGCTGGGCTAAAGTCATAGGTTCAACAAAGCAAATGCAACGAATACCTTCTGTTTCTTTCCAAGTATCTACCAAGGAATATCAGCGCCACACCAGCGGCTATAGCCTTCTTTTTGTGATCGTAAATTGTTTTGCCAAATTTCGAAATTTTATCAACGATCATATTTACATGCTAAATATAACAACAATATATGTATATATTTTCTCAATCAGCCTTAAACTTTACGATTCCGAATATACGACAATAAAATGAATCAAATCTGCGTACGAACAAAGGTAAACTTATTAGGAAATCGCCCAAGTAGCCAGCATCAACCTAACGCAATTCACTCTTCTATCATCCAAAGCTTAAGCCTAAACCTAACTAATCTTGATAACCTAACTAAGACTAATCTTGAAACTCAGTCTAACCCAAATGGACGAGGCTAAAGACAAACCAAAAAAGCAAAAAACATAGCTAAAATTGAGACTGTAATTACCAGTAATAACCATTGTTGGCTTTGCAATAGATATGGCAGTAATACTCAAGAAATTATATTTAACGGTATATTCAAATAAATCCGTACTGCTTCATATAGTCATCGAATAGATCCTTAGATACAATTATAAAATCAAACCAATTTTATTCTTGCACATCAAAAAATCAACAAACAAAACTGATCAGATAACCATCATCAAATTACAATTACAACCTCAATAACAACAATCTGCACACGTTCTATTCAATAACATATACATATTTTAACACAAACAAACTGATATTCAATTACTGCAGCAATAACACCAATTAATTCATCACATCCGAACGTACATTATTACAAGAAGAGCAAATTGTTACAACGGTCACTATCACTCGTATTATCATTACTGTTACACCAACTAACGAATTCGAGAGATTCAAACATCCATAAGACTGAAAACACGTACATAGCGATAACCAAACACGATAAAAGCAAATCATCATTTATATCCGTTATGAAAAGATCAGTGATACCCTTTGACTCAATTCCACTCGCTTGGCTTGAATCAGGTTCGGAACTAAACTGGTCATGAAGCTTTTTGTTCTCTGGGAATGAACATAATCTACCCAGAGGTAATATCGAATTGGACTGAAGAGCTTTTCGTTGCCATAAAGTTGAACAAAAGTACTTCTACAACGCAATCAGAACCTAATTTAACAAATAAACAAAAACAGTAACCGTATGCTGATCAGTGAGCAAATGCATCACTATCGTTAACTGCTCTGATGATAAGATCGGATGAGATTAATGACTTGTTTGACATTAATTTTGCTGAAGCACAGGAAAAAGTTCATAGAATGATCTCGGAAATGGGATATTGCAAGAGTGTGAAATGAACGGCAGGCCCTGAGTTCAGAGGCCTACTTCAAGCAGACGCAGACAGTATGCGATCAACACCATTTGAGAGTAAGTATAGAACTTCATTAAGTAGGAGCAAAACAAGTTAACATCCTTTAACATCAACAATAGAATTAACATCCTCAACTGAATCCATTTTAAAAATCTATCTATCTATTTTCATTATATTAATTGAGAGTATCTGAATGAATAAGATGTTAAACTGAAAAAGACTCCTTCATAGGATGAAACCGATTGCTAAGACAATAACGATTCAACGAAACCAATAAAAGAACACCAAGATATACGTCATGACAATATTACCACATTCAAAGACACTAAACTTTGACAGTACCGGTTTCAGACTTCAAATTTCTGAACGAACTAGGAGCCATAGACATGCAAAATATACTGAATTCGAATCTAAGCCCAAGCTTAAAATCAGTGGATTCCAATGAGACATCTAAAACTCTTCCACTGACACATTCAATTTCAATGGTGAATAATAAAAATCAAGTGTTCCTAAAACATTCATCCTATTGATAATTTCTAAAAACTCCACTGTTCAACCGCACTTTCACGCTTCTGCCCATTTTGCCACTGCTTAAGACTATCTATGAGAAATGTTAGAAGGGAACACACCACGGAAATGGGATATTGCAAAACGATGCGTGACAAAGTAAAGTAATTTTCAGTTTCACATGAACCCGTCATGTATTCATCGTATATTCAAATGAGCATATAAAAAGTTTCGCGACAAATAATTACAATCAAATGCTTTCAGTTGCTAAAGATCGTGCACGGCAATAACAACGCTGACATATTTTTGAGAACTACAATAACAATAAGCTAACACCACAATTCACTTCAAAAAATAACAAAAATTTCAATAATAATATTGATAATAAGCAGTAACTGTAATAGCAGTAATAGTAATAATAACATTCACAATAACACATCGACGATACTAATAATAAAAATAATAATCTGACAAGTCTTAACCGATATGCACAATAAGAAACACCTTCATACTCACCAATATTAAGTCAAATCCTAATCATGTTTCACTTTATTCAACATTAACCTCATGCACGCGCTCGAATCTTCTTTTGAGTCATGACCACTCACTGAAAATTTAAAACATTCATTTCAAATATTCTAATTCTGATACTACAACAATTAATGTGTCTAATGATAACACCTACAATGAATTCATATCGCTCAAGCCAGGCGATACGTCTTTGCTCGAATCAACCGACTGTCAGATAAAATACTTCAGTAGAACCGAATGAAATTACTCACGTTACCAAATTTTTGACAAAACACTTCCAGCAACAATCGAACACCATAATAATTAAAATAATGAAGACAGAAATAATAAACGACTAACCATCTTCCTGAATAATCAACTGCAACACTTCAGCAGCTATCGTTTTCAACGCCCTTTTGAAAGGTAATCCCAATCGATGTGGGTATACAATCGATGTGTCCACAACATTATTGTGCACTATTCGCATTGCTTTCAGATCACTCTCAAGACTATGCCCGATCAGTATACTTTCACTGTTTACCAATTCGAATAATCTATCTTGTGCCTTAAATCAGGACATATTAACAACAACAATAAAACAACAGCAACATTAACAAACCTTCTGCAAATCGCACTCAGCATCCTGAATCTGGTCCTCGGTCAACCCACTGAATCGCGTATTGCAGTCCACAATCTTGTGCTTCTGGCGTACTAAAACGTCCAATACCAACTCATCTTTCATATCCACCACCGAGATTCGTGCCAATGACAGACCATATGGCGTATACACCATCTCACAATCCAGTGCGAACACCTTCGAACTTCGTTTGTCGTCTTTACCACTCGATGGCGGGGTCTGAATGAATGAGCATTACCTTCAATTGCTTCTTGATTGGTACTCTGGCGGGTTTGCCCTCTTGTAAATATCGATAGTATAATAGTATAATAGTACAATATAATAATAACATAATCTTCGGACGAAATGAGTGATTTTTCAATCAACTAACTAAAAAAGTAGCATAACAATAACACGAGAGGGGTGGTAGTGTACGTTAATTTCCCCGGAATGTATGATTAGCCACTAAGTATTATACAAGCAAATACATTTGTTATTACTGAATTCATACAAATTATTGTTAAAGTAATGATCATTTTCAGACAATGAAATAAACGAAATTCACGAGTAAACTCCTTGAAAACCTCCATTTACCTAGACCATATAAATAACTAGATAATCATTCACTTGAATACGCACTCACTCACCTCACGAAACGTTGACAGATCCGACTTGAGTGCCGTATCAGTGACATGGTAATCAGCTATACAACAGCCTTTCACGGTCAGATCCGACGAACAACACGCATACCGTGACTCCCATGTACCTTTCACTGCAATTCTATTTCGCGTAAAAATCTCTTCTTCATAAAAACATTTCCACGGTTTTTGTCATACAAAATAAATTTTTGCTAAACATTTCAGAAACGTTTCAAAAGTCGTTTCAGTTTCACCTTTTGTTTTGAAAGCACGCGCCCAATGATGCACACATTGCTCCTTGACTACGTACTCTCCTTTTGGCGTTAATCGAAATTCGGCACCACATCGACAGCAAACACGTTTCAAATCTTAAATTTTTTTAGAAGTTTATTTTATTTTATTTTCTTCACTCAGCTGTTATTGTACGTTTCGTACATAAGTCTCTTCAAGATCACTCCAGTTATCACTATTATCACAGTTCACTGCTCTTCTCACCCAATTAATTAATTAATTAGTATTTTTAGAGATTGTCTATTGCAATAAGTGAGATCGGTGTACGTTATAATATTTTTGACGACATTTAATTGAACACAAAACGAAACGTTAAACCAAAAAAAGAAAGAATACAATTAAACGAACCATTCTCATCTGCAAATAACTTCTTCTTATTGTCACGTTCACTCGTCACAATCTTCACCTGCGTTCTCGCCTCATCCTCCCATACCGGATAACCGTTCAACTCTAATTGCTCCTTCGTCAACACATATTTCGTCTTCAATGCTGCATAAAATTCACTGCAATACACAACAACACCTATACATAGTGCTTTTCATAATGTCATCACTGCGATTCGATCATAAATGTTGCCACAAAAAGCACTCCTGGGTGATGAAATTACTACGCTCAACAAAAAAAAACATTCTCCACATAATTCTATTTCAATAACTCATTTCGTGAAATGAGCATCATCATAACTACCTATGAAAACCCAACTGAACGTCCTCAAATGGTCAACATAATGTTCACGAACGCCCTCAAATAAAACCCAACTGAAGGCCTTCAAATGGTCAACATAATGTTCACGAACGCAATTGCATTCACCATAGCCAAAGAATAGTACCGAGAAAAGAAGAAATTAAATTTCAACGATAATAGAGTAATCAGTCAAACACAAACGTAAGCGTTTCATAAATGCAGCTAATCGTATAAAATATTCTTAAACAACCAATATACCTTGGCGTTATATGCTCGATTTTTACTTCTGAAATGCTTGGTGCTAAACACCCGGAAAGGTGTTAAACTGCGAAAGCTAAACCTTGAAGAGGCTATCAACTCACGTCTCTGAAAGAATCTTCGATCCGGATGGCATGCATCGCCTCGCACCAATCGTGATCGTATCACCATGTCGTCCATGCAACATCGCTTCATGCGATACCGACTTCACACCACTACCTGAACCAATTAATCATTTCCGAACACACCAGCTGCCGTCTCAATATCACACGAACAATTGCGAGAACATGTTCACTGAATATGCCAGCTCATTGATAAATAAACCGAATATAAATACACAAATGAAATTAAACACGTGCGAGGAAATTAAATCAAACTCAAATCTCAAAATGAGTACAACCTACTTGTTGGTGCCGAATTCGAGCAGCTCGGTATCATTTCGCGTAATCGCTTCAGAACATGTACCGCTGCAGTTGCATAACCGCCTTTCGTGATTGCACGATCTTTCAACGACTTCTCCTCTTGTTGAGCCTTAATTCCATCATTATCAGACGTCAACATCAATAATATGAAGAAAAAAACATTAATAATAATATGATAACATCAATAATATGATTTCTCAACAACCGTTATATGATAACAACAAACACCAATAACGATTTTAACACAAACCATTCGTATTGCATCATCTTGAGACGCACAGAATTTGGTACACTCAGTGTGGAATAAAGTTAAGTATTTTGTTCGGATTGCATACGGCACTTTCGAAGGTGCGTATGGATCCAGTGGCATCAGTTTGAGTGTGGCTGCTGATTTTTTGATCTGAAATCATTTTAAAACATCAGCAATATGAACAGACTAGCACATAGACTAGTAACCATAACATTCCGACACCTTCGAATGGCCGTTTTCTAAAGATTTCAAGCACTCCATTTCCTTTCGATTCCTCTACTTGAATCAAAATATTTCTGCGACATTTTGGAACAATGCAAAAAATATGACTAATAATGACATATTAATCTTTTCAGCAAATTGATAATAATTCGATTTGCGAACGTCAAAACCCAGAAGTATTTATGTTAACCGTTTTCAGAACAACGTTAACATGAAATCAACCATAACTAACATTAACAGTATGTGCAACTCGTTTTTCACCCTTCTCAACAGTGGCCGCACTTGAACCCGCTCTGTAGTCGTATATGTCTTCTTTCGTTTCCTCACTTCCTTTCGTCTCTTTTGTTGATTTTTCTAATCTACAATATTATAGATTATGTTGACAAATCATCATACTGGATCTGAGTTAGCCTAAGCTTATTGTTAGACTTTTTGTTGATCCTTCTCTTATATCTGAACTCAATCTTCGAGTACTCATTCATTCAGCGATGTCCAATTTCAAGATCGAAACTTTTCACAAAGTCATAAATTACACACGCTTTCAAAACATTAATTCTAAGTAAACGTTTTTCACAACACCATTTTGATTATCTGTCTTTTCAATGACAATTTGAGGTGTCATCTGTCAATTTTCATAACATTGGCACCGTTAATCGACGTCCACACGTATAATAACAAAAAAGTTTCTCTCTCATTCATATTCGGAACTAATCCTCTCAAAAGATGACCGAAAACGCATGCTGAAATTTGTCACGTATTGATTACTTCTTCATTATCGCTTCCTTTTCCTTTTGTAATCGTTCATATCGATCGTTGAGTTGTTGCGACACGTTTCGTACTTTAGTCTTTGGGGCGCTTATTCGCATCTCAGAAGTTGCCTTCAAAAACATCCAATTCACTTTAAATCTCTTTGCTTAATCATTCATTTCTTAAGATAATGGCAATCTCCGACACACGAAAATAACCAAGACGTTGCTGATTGGGACACAACTGACCAACGTTAAAATTAAGCATATCCTAATCAAAACAAACGAATAATAGGGAAAACCAAGCATCTGAAGGTTTTCATTACAAAAGAGAGAACTTAAGAGTAGAATAAGACGCTCAGTTGGAGTGATTTTCACTCACAATCGCTAAAATATTGTGACAAATAAGAAATGAACCTGTCGAATGGAACTCTCAACGATGCGTCTCTTTGCAGTATCACTCACTCGTTGTTCAGTTGAAGTCGATATGCTATCTGTGGACACTCTTCTGCTTTCCCCTTGCGCAGTTCGCATCAGTTTTTTGGGTGGCGGCACGAACATTATCTGAAAAACATTAATTGAGCGGAAAAAGATGTCCGACATGCTCAATTTGAGAAAAATTCAATCGGTTTTGATAGATCCCAATCGCGAGTTCGATTCCCGTTCACGAAGGAAAGTTTTGCTCAAAACCGAGTGGTGTACCAATATCGTTAATGTTGTGAGCCCGAGCCAGGCTATGATCTGGCTTGTATCTATTATCTAATTATCAGTCGATTTTGGTAAATTTCTCGATGAATCTATTATCTAATTGGTAAAATTCACTAGAGAAACCAAAATGTTCAAATTTCTTCTATGTATTTATATTCACACGTGACCACTATCAAATAAAACGGTAACAAACAAATACACAAAACAAACCTCGTCATCACTTTCATTCCCATCAAACAAATCGTCAATTGACAAATTTTCAGTTGACTTCAACTTCGAACAAGACGGTTTTTTTGATGACGTTCCTAACAAAGAATCGGGGCATACCACTTTACGCTGCTTCAACGACCGCTTTTCATCGAGTCTCATCTTTTTCCTCGCTTCCTTCTCCTTTGCCCTTTCCCTATCTTTACTTCTCCCATTTTCCAGCTTTTCCCTATCCTCATTTATATCTTTGGTCCTTTCATTTTCTTGTCGCTTCTCTTTGGCATTCGCTTTTTCAGCTTTTAACACTGCCAACGGGGTTGGCGTATAACCACCGGAATACGATTTCGATTTTGAGACGGACGATCTGTGATTTTGATGCTGAACGTGTTGTGATGACGACGACGGTGCTGCATGATGCTCATCCTAAATTGACACTAGCAACTAAGATCGATATCGTTGAAATGAATTGCGAATAAACAATGAATGAATTAACTAATATTATTAATGTTGTGAGCTTGAGCCAAGCTATGATCCGGCTCGTATCTATTATCTTACTCTCATTCGATTTTGTTGAATTTCTCGTTGAGTTCACTAGATAAATCGAAATGTTCAATTTTCTTCTATGTTTTGATATTCACAACTTTTGACCACGATGAAATGAAACGATATCTGAAAAGCACGCATACTTTCTTGGTGGTGGGTACATATTCATGTTTCACCTTTGCCTTAATCTCATCAACTACACGTTCCCGTATTCGCTTCTCCTCTTCCAGTTGTCTTTGTAACTCCTGGATTCGCGTGTCAATATCAGCCACCGACTTCGCATGATCGTTCAGATTCACACCTTTCTGCAATATCTACAAATCAAGGCAATACCATATCATGTTAATACTATCGTTACAATATCTATTGCTGTCCTTACTGTTATTCTTACAGACATTAGTAATAACTAACCTCACCAATATTCAAAGCTTTTTCGAGCGAATGTTCATCCTTCGTAACGCTTTTTTGTTTACTAGTATCATTATTTTGTGAATCTGGCCGTTCATTTTTCGGGTCTAATATTTCATCAACTGATAATTCGATTAGTTTTTTTGGTTTGGTTATTTCGGCGAGTGGAGACGTGTTCCGTTTCCGTTGTTGTTGATGATTGCTTTGGTCTGGTTGGTGAGCAGAGGTTTTCTGATCTAAAATACGTTCATTATAATGAATAGCATTCGTGTATTTTGCTGAATTTGGATTGATGAAAGCAACCAATCTATATTTCACTAAACAAATCTAGCGTTCATTCTCATTCCTAACAGTTATGCGTTCAGTTAGCTAACATCTGCTTTAATTAATCTGAATTTTCCGCAATCACAAAAATTTGACAATCACAAATAACCAGATGTAAGACACAAACGAATAAAAATATCGGTAACTCTTTGGTTAACGTGTTCACGGAAAAAGGCGGCACTGCAATACTCCACGTAAACTCTGTATGAACCAGCTCAAACTTCAAATTAACCTCAGCTGAACCCCACTTTCACGTTAAGCCTCAGGCTTACTAACTAACCGTGAAACCCCGATGAGTCTCGATCAAAAACCTAGTTTATCTTACAATTAGTTTAAGGCTTATATGTAGCGTAGCCCCTTTTATAGACACGTCAACTAAAGCATTACCTATAATAGTATTCAAGAGGAAGTATTCAGTCGGAGTTACGAGACGAGAAGCGTATCATCTGATAAGTCCCGTCGGGCTGACTTCAGATCAATTTGCTGAACGGTCTCCGATGACGGTGAGAGGGTTGTTCAAAAAATTTTTAAAACAGGTCTGAGATCGGTAAAAAGAGACCTATAAAATGATAAATATCTCGTCGCAAAACTCCAATTCAGCGAACAAGATAAACACTGAGTGGCTATGGCTATAACAAGCTGAAATACCTATCATAATCAGTATACTTAAATGGTCTGGTCCATAGAGATCAGGTGAAGAAATAATGCAAGTAGCTGTTACCTTTGGAATGAATGTAATTGCGTATATCATTATCGTTGTTACTGTTGTGACTGACGTTATTGTGAAATCGATTATTATTAACACTGATATACGACGTTTGCAATTGCTGCGTGTAATTGTTACTGTTATCATTGCTCATTGATGAGTTGTGCTGCTTCAGATCGTCGTTCTTATCCACATAACCCATATAACCGACAAAGGGCTGAGCTTGTAGGGCCATATTATTTGATGATTCTTGTACCATTTCATCTGAATTATTCATCCATTTTACGGATATACATTACTTCATATGCGCCCATCCTTCCCCTTATGTTGTCTTCCGTAAAACTCAGATATTCCAATGAGTTTAGTTAAATAAGTCAGGCTCAGCTTAATACTTGACCTCAGCTCTGCATTCAAGTTCGACACTTTTCCATCTAACAATGCCCTAATTCGAATTGTAGCACTTTCTAGGTAACCCTTTACAGTGATATAATATCATTCTGGATTCACTTCAAATCGACCACTTGATGTTTGTCACTGCTTCAACCTTTCATTATTCATTGAAGAAATAAAAAATTTAAAAAATGATCACATTCAGAAGACGTTATCATTGGCGAATAAGAGAGTTAACTGAAAAATGAATGGAACGAAAACCTTTCGAATGCCAAAAATGGCAGTGCGGTCTCCAGCATGCCTCATCATCTGGGCACATTAGATCTGTGAAAAGAGCCGATCTTCCGATCATCTGAATCACATTACCAATATAGTCAGGCAGTTTAGGTACAACAAAACAACAAACATATTTAGCATATTCTAAAGTGACAACAATTGCAACTGTGCATTAAATAAAACAGTTTATCCATTATGATATTAACGCACGCAGAAAATTTTTACGACATGAGTATTGCCGAAATTAGTATTATGATATTAGCACGGGAAGGGAAATTCAAATGTTTTTGCGGGAGAACACAAAGTTGTATAAATTTTTACGAGTCGATTGGCCACAGCAGAAAGAAAATATGAATTTACTGATAAGATTTTTTTTTGGAGGAATTCATTCTGTCAGCTCCCTCCCTGCCTCATTTGAGTATGCACGCATAACTGCGTAAAAATGAATAAACATCAGCTGTAAGGTCTGATAAAATACAATCTGATGATTCTTAATTTGGCGATTTTTGTGTTTGATTTTAAAAATTTCAGAATTAAAACTGCATTCAGCTTATTATAACAGATTCAGAACAGTTATATCTCAACCGTATTGGAAACAATTGTATAAATACTTGCAGTCATTGGGACAGATGAAAAATGAGAATGTTCATTGACTCATTTTAACCAGTAAAAATATACACACTTGATAAGGACTCAAAAATCATTTAATCTGTTCCATAATAATAGGTAGTTTTTCACGTGATACTTTTGCTGATAGCGGGTACCACCGTGGAAGTCAAAGCTTATGCGTTAGCTTCATCACTGAGCTAAGCTTAAGTTCAAGCTTAAGCTTAAGCATACTCCTGATTTGACTTCGAATTGCGTTGCTATACATGGGTAAAGTGGTAATCTAAGCATATGCGCGCAGTGGAGCCCATTATCGGTAAAGTGCCTGTCAGGTTTATTAATTCCCCTCAATACGATACTTTAGATACTCGACTAGGATCCCGTGCGAAGTGTGGAAGCCTGGGACGTGAACGATGTCATTGCCTGAATTCCTTACCATATACAAGTAGATGACCAAATAGTATACTCTTAAAATAGTAAAGGCCGGAACCGAGCCATTTACTTATAGATTTCAGCATATGCAAGAGGTATTCAGAATGCTGTGGGATAATCCCATTAACGAAAACATCGCTTGTTAATAGTGATTTAATACATCCAATGAAATAGACCCTTTTCCAATAAATTTTTTCATTTTTGTGTTCGCAATTAAAACTATTCGCAATAGTGCATACAGACACTTCGCCAAATACGAACGGAGTGACAGTTTGCCAATAGTGACAGAAGTGGGATTTTCATTTGATATATGTTCAAAAATGTGGATTTCTTACCCATTCAACGGAAATGAATACGGGCAATCCACATATGATTTTGTAGCGCAGATCCAGGAGAATAAAATATATTGACAGATTTGCCCGAGATTTTCGATTTCACGTTAAGGGCAAAAATTCAACAAATAATTTGAATTTGTACCCACCCGAGAGGAAAAATTTATAAACATGATATATACCATGTTATAGCCGAGATTGAGTACTACAGAAAGCTCTTTTAAATATTGTCGCCAGTTGGTAAGTTACGAGAGTTATGACACTTGGCGTGAGCTATAGTGTTTAATGGTCACAATTGGCATGTGTAATGAAAGAATTGAAATTCTCTCTATTGCTAATATATAAATTAAGAGAAATGTTGTATACTGCGTCGTAGTCGAGATTGAGTACTACAGAAGTCTTTTTTTAATTTTGTTGCCAATTATCAACTTAAGAGAGTTATGACGCTTGGCGTGAGCTATAGTGATGTTCAATGGTCACAATTGGCATGTTTAATGAAAGAATTGAAATTCTCTCTATTGAGATTTCGCTTGAAACGTTCGCAGACAGCTTTAAAATTTGTAACTTTACATTTATATGTGTTCACAGCAAGTTTAAAATACTCATGCAGTTCGCAGTTAGCTCTAACCATCCGTGCAATCCGTAAGAAATCTGCCCTCTTAATACCTACTCAACAAAAACGTCAATTCCTTCCGCCACTTGACGGACTGTTACTGCGCTCGTAATTGACAAATTGTCAGCACACCACGATATGATATCGCCTGATCATTTACATAGTATAAACAGATATTTCCTTTGAATATCAAGAGAACAATTGGATAAGATCAGTACAACGCGAACGAACTTCTTCAAGTTGGGATCATACATACACTTTATACTTCGATACTGCGCTCTATGAACGAACAAATCTTCTCGATGTTTGACTAACGATTGATACGCAATCTCACCGTAAGCCGAGAGTGATACGAGTGTCGATTACATCAGTTTTGAACTTTAAAAGATATCTTCAGTAGCGATTTTGAATCGGATCACTTCACGTATTTCCCATCCATTTAACACACCTCACTGAACATTCACCACCCAATAGAATCAGGTTTTTAGCAACCTCACAATCAGCAAAAACTTTCCTCCAATGCTACGCGAACAAATCAATCTCGCAAATATAATTCTAGCTTTTATTCTATGAAATTCCATACATCTGAGGTAATCATTGACCGCAATGATTCCCTTCACCAAATGAACAATAAATAAAAATTTATCCGGGATAAACGAATTCTGACTGAACAACTGAAAATAAAAACACAGATATCACAATTAAAGGACTGCTAATAATTCGTGAAGAAATTGGCAGACAGCTGGATCCAATAGGCAGTTTTCATGTGATCACGGTTGGTTCTTTGCGACCGGTGAACTGTTCCATTTTACACAAATTCAACGCAACCAGCACTAACGGCTTCAGCAATTCCTTCAAAAACAGCAGTTATTATTCTCAATACTGCCGCCAAGATAAGTATCAACTATTATCAAACAATCAATACAATATCAATATTATATTACGTCAAATATTATTATATCAAAAAATCAAATTCTATTAAAATAAGAAATACCTGAGCTGGTAGATTGAGGTGCGCCTTATCGCTAGCGTCCACGAAGGAATCGACGTATAAGCGGATGGTCGCACCCGATGATCCTGTTCCACTCAAACGGAACACGATTCGACTGCCGTCAGCGAACAGCAGACGTAATCCCTTCAATTTCACATTTGCATTCATCCGCAATAAAAAGAGCCATCAACCATATCAGTCTAGTCAAAGTTGCCGGATGCGAACCTGTTTCTTTGAGACAGATCCATCGATTGGGTCGTGATACTCGAAGTTATCCGCTTTCGACACCGTGAACTCAACGTTATTGGCCGAGAATTTCTGCCCGACGAATGCTGGTAATTGTGACTCGACGTACGTCATCAGAAGATTCGCACCTTGTGCCTCTACATTCTCGTAATCGTATCTGAACACTGAATTTTATTGAAGACAACATAAATAAATCGACACTCCACACTGCAGTGGCTTGCGTTTCAAATTAATTCAATTACATTTTATACAGTGACTTTATTGTCATGCTCAGAGTGAGTTCGCACTACGTTTTGTATGAGCAAAAGTTATAGTTTAAGTATGTTAACAGCAGCAATGGTGGAAGAGGAACGCCGAATTTATTTTAAAAGGATGAAATTCGGTGGTAGAAATAGGGAATTTTCAAAGGATAATATAGGATAAGACAAAGGCACACATTTCACAAACGTTGCATCGACATATGGCAAATGCTTTCTGAATGTGAATAAACTGATAGAATAAATCAAGATAAATGGATAAAGATAAAGACAAATAAAGATGAAGATAGAATAAAGAAACAATAAAAACAAAATCTACCTCGTGAAAACGTTACGTCCATACTTAGCCCAATGTTCCTTGACAATCTCCTCGACCGACTTCTTCTTATCAGCCAATATCGACAACCACGCTAACATGGCCCAGATGCCATCCTTCTCACTTAAATTATTCACAATTCAACATACGGTTCAAGATAAATAACTTGCAACAACTCAATAAACGAACCGAATATGATCCGATCCAGTACCAAATGATTCTTCACCACACAACGATAATTTTCCCGCATCCATCAAATTCCCAAAGAATTTCCACCCGGTCGGTACCTCATAAAGCGTCATACCGTTTGCCTTTGCTACTCGATCCACAGCTCCTGCTGTTGGCATACTGCGTGCGTAGCCTTCAACAAAATTATCGTTCTTCAATTATTCCTAACAACAACAATTCAGAAATACGTAGTAATACTTAATAATAATAATAAAGTTCAAATTTTGACATCAATGATGACAACAATGACCTCAACCGCTCTCACTACTCAGCGCAACATCCAATCAGTTTCAGATCTCACCAAGAACTCAATTAAATCAAATATGCCACTTTATTTTCCAAAAATGCGAAAAGGGAATGCGCTATTCACATTTTGCAGAAAAATCACATTTTGCGACAAAGAAATGCAAAATCAAATGGAATGAACTGAGATTATCAAAACAAACCTTTGACACCATGTTTTTGGAAATATGGAATGCATTTGAGGTTGGCAGCGAGGACAGCGAGTGAATCACTTGGCGTTACAAAGAATGCATTCTTGCCCAGTATCATGTTTCTATCCTGCAATATCAACTTTTGCACTACAATCCAACTTTTCCTGCACAAATTATACGTCTCTCATAAAGCATTAACACGCGAGAACATTTCGTGAACGTATTTCTTTCAGTTGTTACGCGAAGATGATAGCGCTGATCAAGGTTGTTGTTCACTTTCTGTTGGCGATCAGTGTCAACTGATTTTTTAATCAACGATATTTTGGAATTGTTCTGATATTCACGTCATTTCGGATTTCCTTTTATGGGCACTTATATCAGCTCTTGTTATCTCAACGAGTCTGTCATGTTTTTGGGGAACAAACAAAAAAGAGCAACTAACTCCATCGCCATCAAACGCCGCACCGAAGTCGTGTTCTCCTTTCGCCATCGCATCCACCAAATGACGAGCGTACGTCAGATTCGGGTCAGGATGACCACCGCCGAAGTCCGGTTTCGGCGTTACGTGCAAAAGCTCCTCCACGTTCGCACCCAACTTCTCACCAAGAATCTTCGATACGTACGGTCCAGTTGCACCGTATAAACTGTCGATTTGTAGATGGAACGGCTTGCCACCACTTGATCCGCCTTGCAGAAATGATTTGATCTGCAATTGTTACAACACGTTGCATCAGCGCAATACAACTCTCAACATAAATCAACAAAATCACAAAACTTCTCACTTTTGCAAAATCGAAAATTTCTTCCATCAACTCCACGTAATCCTTGACGCAATCGATAACGTCCACCGTAAACGGACCAAACCCTTCGATATTGTAGTCATGTTTACCGATCGTATTGAAATCCACATTCAAGTCCGGACATATTTTATACTCCTTGATCGCTAACGACAGCTTGTGGATTGCTTCTGTCACCTATAATATTATCACTAAAAATGTTTGCATAATGACGGAGTCCTATGTAAAAATCTTAGGCCCACCATTCGTAGGCCCACAACCCAATAAGAAAGAAGGAACGAATGGATCGAAAACCTTTTCAGGCGCCGGCCCACCATTCTCGCAGTTGTACTTGATTCCAAAATCTGCCTTTGGACCGCCCGGATTGTGGCTTGCAGTCAGAATGATACCACCATTAATGATGTTACCATCTGAAAGAATTCTTCCAAAATTAAGATGACACACAATCATGAATCATAACATAATAATTCATTCTTATTTATTCAATCAGCAAATCCAATTCGTTACGAATTTATGCCCCTCTGCTAATATTAATATTACTGATATCATTATATTACCAACATCACAATGAATGAGTAATAGTTTATCCGAATGAGCAATACAGTTCACAGCTTTGTATTTTTATTTGTCTCGATATTATGGTGAATGTTACGAATTGAACTCAAATTTCATTATGAAAGTTATGAATTATTATGGGTAAGTAGCTGTCAACTATTCAGATAACTCATCGAAGAATCAAGCAAACGAACTGTTGATTGCACGTTTTCTGATGAGACACGAAACTGCCGGTGTGCTCAGAAAGCCTTTCTGCCCTACGATCAGTTTTCGCAACTGTAACGTTTATGCATTCAGATGAATCCTTTCAGGCATTTATAATAACATGCAGAATTGTTTTCGAAGGGGATGAAACGATTAGGTAGGCAACTAAAGTCTATAGGTTGAATGCAATAGAAGCAAAACAAAAGATCATTTATCAATAATAACTTTTGATCTGCTTTGCCTATCCTTTAATCCCGTTTACATAATTCAGGGCAAAAGTGAATTGGATGCGTCCATTCATTGCTTCCAGAATAAACGATTCCACGAAAAACGACTCACTCCATTAGCGGCCGAGATTTTGATGATCAGATTGACCGTTTCAGGACATAAAAACCTTCCATCACCTCCAACCACCAACACGGCACCCTTCTTTCCATCGCCAAGCCCTGCATCCAGAATGCACTGGATGAAATTCTCCGTGTAGTTTTCCTTTTGGAATTCCGCTACCTGCAATTAATTTTCTAGAAGTTGCACAAAAATAAAAGAAAATTGAAAATGTAATTGAAATAAACAAGTGAACTTTTAGAAATAAAATACTTCAAACGTTACCGATGTGCATGAAGTGAATGATTGATAAATGACATGAACAAATCCCAAAGAAATATCTCATCTGCAGTGGATCAGCTTTGTTAACAACAAACAAATAAATACGATAATCATAGCAGTAAGTAATGGAAGAGTCAAATCTCAAAAACTAACTCTTTTCCTGAGACCACTTGTTCCAGGTTTTTGTCCCTCGTACGGTTTCGTGCTCACCGTTACCACTTTTATATCACCCATTGTTGTTGATTTAACTGCAACACACTTCATTCAACAATACTTCCCCACGAGCAATTAATCCAACACACCTATTCGTGGCAAACTTCGTAAACGGCACGATAAAAACCACAATAAAACACGTTCAAAAGCAACCACCATGTGTACGGTAGAAGAATTAACAAAGTATTCTAAGCACTGCAAAACGAAACGTTTAATGATAATAACAACAACTGAACACTGCAAAAATATTCGATTATACTATCAATAAAAAAGGACGATCATTTCATCGCTTTATCTATCTAAAAATACTTTTTCTTCTATTTTATCATTAATCTTGAACATCGAATCATCGAATCGTAAACAACCAATCGAACTCAGTTGCTATTCATATCATATCAAACAAAAAATCACATGCACTTCAGGATATAATCTCTAAATCAGACTTTAAAGCTAAATAACTGAATTACTACAGTGATCAATTGTGAAGCAATAGATAACTAATATGTAACTGGTTAAGACATAGAGTGTAGATGAATCAAAAACTGAAAAGAGATTAATTCACTCGCAATAAGCATAACCACAAAACTGATGTTATATACAGTGTTGGTGGAGGTGGAGTAATAAATACTTTTGTTAGTGTTGTTGATAGAAGGATGACAGTTAAAATATTATCATAGCACACAAACAGTAATGTAGCGGAGAAATGTATAAAACGATATCGACAAAACGAAACGAAAAGCAAAATATTACACAAAACAAGTATTTCGTCGCAGTGCTCACTGCTAATTTCAATTTCGCACGTATGGGCAACACTAGCAGTTTCGTTGAGTTGATTTCATTGATTATTAGAGTACTTTTGATCTGATTTCGATTACAACACAATAATCAAATTGTTTACAAGCAATCTCTTGCAAATCCACAATTGTTCTTATCTCGATTATATCAGAATGCATTCTGGATGAATACACGCAGTTATATGTAACTTCAGTGCGAAATCAACTGGGACCCTTATGGGACATAACAATAAAAGGAAATGAGCACGACGTTCAACGCAAGCTTGAAAATAAGTCGGGGGAGGGGGCTTAACTCTAGTCTTACCTTCATGATCTATTCTAATAGGGCAATATCTCATCAAGCATTATGGAACACTATTTGAAAAGAAGGAAGTATGCACATCACTTATAACAAAATCAGTAATCGAAACAGGATTTAAAAACAGAAACGATTTCGATGCGTGTTTAAAAGGGATGTCAATGAACGAACGACACGATAACACAGAGGTAGTACTCACACGAACTATAACTGCAAATGCTTAAACTCAAAACAATAAAGATTATAAACAGCAGTCAACCGCTCACAAATAATAACTTTCAATCGAAATAATTAGAAAATATTCATAAGTATTAAGCACTCTTTCTGACACGAACTACTGGGCAAGAGCAGTGGTTCAATAATGAATAAATATAGAGGACAGTATGAATTATACTTGAATAAATTGAATAACTTGAATAAATTATACTTGAATAAATTAATTGTTCTTGAATAGATAAATAAATAAATTAATAAACAATAATGAATAAAGTATACTTTCCGTTCTAAAAGATACTCCCAAAATAAAAAGTAAAATGGAAAACAATTGTATTGCTTAGAACATAAACTTTGTCTATATTCAAACTGAAATATTCAAAATGTTCAGCGATACGTATCTTTAGGTTTTCGGACTAGAATACGGATGAACTGACTGTGAGTTTAAATCAGGAACATAATAAAACAACATGGAATGATTACATTCTCTGACATTACATAACACATCGGCAAAAACAATCGACAGGTGCCATTCTGCGGGCATATGAAAAAGAATGTGTTTCGATGTGATGCAGATACACGTCTTCAAAACTACTTTACCGACCGAGCTCGGAGCTATGCATATGCTTGGGCTCATGTTTATAACTAATACCACCTCGAAAAGTATATGCTCAAAACAACGGCTCAGGTTTCGTTGCATACTATGATTGATGGTGTTCACCCACTCCTATGTAGAAAAACGATAACACTTCTGAGTTGCTTTCATCGATGAAGCGTTCGTCATCTGTTAGGATGGGATGATGGAAGCAAATGATCATTCCGATCACAAAGCTGGTCTGAAGAAAAATAAGACACGAGAGAATGACGAACGACGGGAAATAATTCTCTCGAAAATGAGCACAAAACTGAGACTAACGAGGAAAGGTCACGAAGATGGCATGAGTTATACAAATCAGCTACATGAGCCCTACAATATGATAAATGTCTCATCCTGAAAGGCGGGGGTAACTTCGGGATCTTTCCATTTAAGGTGGCAGCAGATTGATCTCGTCGAGGCCCGGATTACTGATAAAATGTCATTTCAAGCCCATTACTCTTTATCATGGTGCACTGCATCAGCTAATTGACCTGTCCTGTAATCTTTTCTTCTCAACTAGTTCCACTAAAGCAATGCACAAATCCAGGAACGCCACTCATCCACTTCACCTGGATGGCATGTCCCGGCTGTGCATGTCCACCGTGGAAGGGTTTTGAACGTTTCTTCGGGTGACCCACAAATACGTCCGTGACAAGTCTAAACTCGGACAAAATTGGACAAAATCATCATGCTACTCAAGCAAATTGTCGGGCTGGCACATTGTCGCGGACCAAATTGTCGTAGACCCGATTGGTGTGTGTGGTGTGGGTAGAAGAAGCCAAATTGCACTTTTGTACGCGCGCGGGCCCGAATGTTCAAAGGTGAGAGAAGGAGAGGAAAACGCTGCGTAAAAGCGCACAAAACGAACGGAATGAATGTAGCCGTGAAACCTAATAACGAGAAATAGTCGTAGCATAACCTTCGCGTTTGATTCCAAATTTAATTCTCTACAAGCACAGAAGGTTTCAGGAAAATTCATCATTTAGTTTTCGAAATTGTAACTTAGAAAGAACCTTCA